CAGACTGGGGGCAGAGCTGGGGCAGCGGGTGCAGTTTGGAGCCCTGGCACCCATCTGGCTCCCCAGTGCAAACCACCCCGAGCACCTGCCCCATCTCCAGTAGCAGACGAAATTGCCCCCCGCTGGCCGGGGCCACCTTGTTCCACGGGCAGCGAGTCAGGGGCTGCCAGCTGGGGCTCTGGAGGGCAGGCTTGGCGAGTGGTGGCCCCGAGCCCACGCTGCTCGCAGGGGCATGCCGTGGAGCTGCTCCCGCGGATGCAGCCGCGCGCTGGAGGGCACGGAGCAGACAGCAGCTGGGTAACGAGAGCATCTGAAAAGGGACTTTGTTCCCCCTCTGTTGGTCACGTAGCCATGTGGGAACACTAGATTTATTCACCGGCAGTCCTATCGGCACATACCAGGCCTGACAACAGCTGGGAGCTGTGTGCCTTGACCAAGAATAGCCCTGGGGAGCTCGCTGGTGAGTCAGAGCTGTCTGGATCTGCTCCTGCCCTGGAGGCTGCCTCCCAGCACAGGGGGGTGAGATGGCCACTGTGGCTGGGGAACCTGCCAGGCGGGAGGCGCAGAGGCTGGCGGTGAGCTCCCTGGCCCATTAAATGCTAAACTCCAGTTTGAGCCGTAATAGCTCTTTCTGAAGTGGGTGGGTCCATGAGGAAAACTGCAGCGTGCAGCACTCTGCAGCCGACTGCTCAGATGTAATTCCTTGGGCTTGTCCACACTTGATAGCAACCTGTATTAAAGAAGGGTGTGATTTTGCAAGTGGAAAACTCCGTATTTAGGAATAACCAGGTTAAACCAAACAGAAGGAAGATACTCTTATTCTGGAGTTAGTGCTCCAAAGAAAGCAAAATAGTTCCACAAACCTCTTGTCTGAGAGGGAGACAAGGGGCAACAAGAGATGTCTGATCTCCTGCGTGCAGAACCCCAACACCTCTGTTGCTTGTAAAACACCCACCCTGCCTAACACTTTCCCTCCGAAGAGTGTAGTTGGAGCAACATGTGCGATGCTGTTTGCTGGGATGTGGCTTCATAGCTGGGCTACCCTGACCCAATCGTGGCTGGCTGTTGGCTCAGCGCAGGGATTTGCGGTCCGTGCTCTCTGGAGATGCCAGGGCTGTGCAGGCACCGCTCGGGCTGTGAAAGCTGATCCTGACCCAGCATCTCTGCTGATCTCTTAGCAGGTGAAGGAGGCCCTCAGACTGGCACCATGACGGAGTGCTTTGACTGCGACAACTGCAAGGAGTCCTTGTACGGGCGCAAGTACATCCAGATGGACAACGGCCCGTACTGCATCCCCTGCTACGATGCCCACTTTGCCAACACCTGCGATGAGTGCAAAGAGCTGATCGGCCACGACTGCAGAGTGAGTATGGGACCCTAAGGCAGGGCAGCTCCTGGGGCAGTCAGTCCCCTCCTCATCTCGCTGTCCTCCCCAGGAGCTGTACTATGAGGATCGCCATTACCACGAGCACTGCTTTCGTTGCTTCCGCTGTGACCGCTCTCTGGCCGACGAGCCGTTCACCTGCCAAGGAGAGGAGCTGCTGTGCAATGACTGCTACTGCAACGAGTTCTCCTCCAAATGCGTTGCCTGCGAGAAGACAGTCATGCCAGGTAGGAGCGAGCAGACTCGAGCACTGCAGTTTGTTCCCAGTCCCAGTGGCGTCAGCCAGGGCTGCAGGGTCCAACACCAGGGCAGCAAGGAAGAGAGCTGAATTTCTGCTCTCCTGCCCCACTGTCACTGCCCAGGGTGGGCCAGGTGCTTTGCTTGTCTTGTGAGACAGAGGATCCCAAGCTGCCATCACCACAGCAGCCCCGTCTGTCTGTTCCCCTTTGTCACGGGGAAGTGAGCCGGGGAGGAGATTAGAAAGAGTTCCCTGAGCATTTTCTGGTGTGTGCTGACGAGGAGAGAAGGAATGACTGAAGGTGTGTGATCATCTCTGGAGATGGCCTGAGGCAAGGGAGTACCTTTGCTTGGCCATTCTGGAACCATCCTCAGATGCAGGTTACAACAGGCGTCTCTGCTGTGGCCGGTGTGCTGGTGCTGGGGACCTGTTCCCGCAGCCCTGTCCTTGCAGCTGGATGGGCCTGGGGTCCTGTGCTGCCAGGGGGAGGGCGGGCATAGAGCTGGGTGTGCAGGACTGTAGTTCATCCCACACAGCCGGCTGTGTGCTCTAGGCGTGCACGTGTTGCTCCCTCCTGTCACACTGCGGATGCCTCTCTCTGCAGGATCCCGTAAGCTGGAGTATAACGGACAAACCTGGCATGAGCATTGCTTCATATGCAGCAGCTGCCAGCAGCCCATCGGGTCACGATCCTTCATCCCAGACAAGAAGGATTATTACTGTGTCCCCTGTTATGAGAACAAGTTTGCTCCTCGCTGCACTCGTTGCAAAAAGGTATGTCTGTCCCGACAGCCCAAAGCCCCCGAGTTCTCTGATCCAGGGACACGTTCCCCGCTCCTGTCTCAGCCCCACCGGAGCAGAGTTCGGGTGCCAGCACCCCAGCCAGCCGCCGGTTGTGCGCTGCAGCGCGTTTCCCACGTGTCGCCAGTGTGTGCTCTCTTCCCGCAGACCCTGACCAAGGGAGGAGTGACTTACCGGGATGAGCCATGGCACAAGGAGTGTTTCGTCTGCACGGGCTGCAAGACCCCCCTGGCCGGCCAGCAGTTCACCTCCCAGGATGACAACCCGTACTGCATCAAGTGCTTTGGGAACCTCTATGCCAAGAAGTGCAGCGCCTGCACAAAGCCCATCACAGGTGAGCAGAACGGCAGAGCAGGGCATGGCCCACCCGCCCTGTTTCCAGATGTGCTGTGACTTCTCTGGGTGCACGTGTGAGCCAGGCCCATGTGATGCTCATCCTCGTCTCCACTGCGCAGGCTGGCTCAGGTGTCTCCAGGCACTTCAGACCTCCTGGGGGCAAATCCTGGCGAGTGCAGGGTGCCCTCAGGCATGTCCCCCCCAGAAAGGAGGGCAGCATGAGCCCTCCCAGTGTGCTCCTGTGGCTCCAGCTTGCCTTGCTTGAGGCTGGTTGCCACGTCCTGTGGAAAGATTGCTCACAGATAGGGAAAGCCAGAGACTTCAGCCATAGCTGGAGCAGCAACTGCTGTGGGGGTATCTGGGCCTGCCAAAGACAGGGGAAGCAGGGGATCCACTTCCGCAGAAGCCCCGGGGAGGGTCTGGCCTCTTCCATGTCCTCCCCCACTTGACCTTTCCCTTTGCAATTCATGTCTCGTGCCGCTGGGAAGGCGAAGCCAGGAATGGGCTGGTGCCCAGAGGATGACTCTTGCTGAGGACTGGGCAGCTCCTGGGCACCACCCCGCTTCCGTCTGGTCCTTATCAGAGTGTCCCGGCCCCAGGGAGAAGGGGATCGCAGCCCACAAGCTGGCACAAGCCCACTGCCGGCAGAGGGAGGGAGTTGCCCGCAGAGCCTCTGCAGGAGCCCGGGGCTGGGCTGGTGGCAGGAGGGCTCTTCCCAGGATTTCACTAGCACGATCCCTGGAAGGAGCTGCTCTGGATGGTGCTGCTGAGAGCTCCTGACAGCCTCATCCTTTGCTGCAGTGGTGCAGCTCTGCTCCCCGCTCCTCTTTGCAGAGAAAACGGTGATTCCGGCCTGGGGGTCTCAACCTGCAAAATCTGACATGACACCATGTTGTTCCTTTCCCCCCCCCAAGAGTGGAGATTTGTGTTTCAGATGGTTTTGGTACTGTGGGGTGTTTGGGTGGCATGGTGCAGGACTGCGTGTGAACACCTGACTCGGAGATGAACAGGACGAGACAGTCAGTGCGGGAACCTCGTCGCCGTTTCCCCGGGCGTTCTAATGCCCACCCTGTCCCTCCCGCAGGCTTTGGCGGTGGTAAATACGTCTCCTTTGAGGACCGTCACTGGCACCATAACTGCTTCAACTGTGCCCGCTGCAACACCTCGCTGGTTGGGAAAGGCTTCATCCCTGACAACGATGAGATCCTGTGCCGCGACTGCAGCAGCGACCTATGAGCCTGTGAGGACACCGTGGGGCAGGGGCTTCTCTGTTCTTCAGGGTCTTTGTGCCAGATGCCCCAACGGCATTTCAGGGGCAGGGCACAAGGCACAGGAGATGAGGGCCGACCCCGAACCGCGGTGTGTTCAGGAGGTTCCTGTGCTCCTCCTTGAAGGCTAGAGTACGCTACGCTACGGCTCTGTGCAGAGTCAAAGCTAAATAAAGTTGAAAAAGGAGCTTCAAGACCCCCCATTACTTACTCTTTCTTTTGCTTCCTGTCTGAGCAGGCACGAGCTGAGCCCAGGGCCCCAGCTGAGCACAGAGCAGCACCTTCAGCGTTGGGCTGCTGGATCTGCACGCTGGCAGCATGTGTTCGTTCCCCCTGGCACAGTGCTGACTTTCCTCTTTTCCCATGTGCTTCCCTTGCTCTGTGTGATCCAAGACAGCAGCTCCTGGTCCGTGCGGCTTGGCTGGGCTGGCCTGCCTGGCAGGTGGCTCTGTAGCACGGCTTTTTCTGTACGCTTGGCCGGCCTGTGGCAACCCGGGCATGGAGGGCACTGTCTGCCCTGTGTGGGGGCACCAGGCTGGAGTGTGGCCAGAAGAGCATGTGTCCTGCCAGACGGGATCCTTCTCCAGGTTTCTGTAGCCACCTCGCCATCTGCGGGCCAGACCCTCTGCTCTGCACATCTCTGAAGGTGCTCTCACTCAGATGGGGATGAGCAGCTCAAATCGCATGCAGGTACGGGACGTTCTGCCCCACCACCTCCCTACCCTGTTCCCGTCCATCTGTGCACGGCAGCTCTGTGGACTCTGAGCTGGAGCTGGGGGGTATGGGCTCGCTGGAGGTGCCCCCTGAGATTTGCCCACCCGAGCCCCAGCAAAGGGCTGAGAGCACTGAGGGCTTTACTCCTGCTCCATCCCTCTCGTAGGGAGCCGTGGGACGAGGAATGCCCCACGGAGCCCAGCTGCCAGCGACACAGGGGGCACCGAAGACCTTCAGTAATTTGGGGAGGGGAGCACTGCCCAGGGGCTGTGGCTGCGCTCGGTTGCTGCTGGCAGTGCTGAAGGGGAGGGTCTGGGGGATGACGGGGCTGCAGCGCGGAGGTGCGCCGAGGGAGCAGCCAAGGTGTCCGCAACCTGCTCCGGACACGGCTGAGCGTCCCCCGCTGCGGCGGGCGGGGCGCGGGGGGGGCCACCACGCCACTGTGTCCCAGACGAGAAGCAAAGCAGAGGTGGCACCGGGGCTGCCCTGAGAGGGGCTTTGCATCTCCCGAGTCCCCGCGTTGGCCCTAACTGTGCAGAATAGGACGTCTTGAGCCATCCCAGACTGGCAAAAAGGCTTGAGCCGTCCTTGCCCGGCGGCTGAGCTGGCCCTGGGTCCCCTGAGGCCCCTCTGCAGTGGGATGCTCGTACCTGCCTTGTTTCTACACCCCTTTTGCTTCTGTCTTGCTGGGACACTTATGCGGACCCTGTTTTCCTGCTTAGACAGCCACGTGCTTCTCTAAAGCATCTTCTGGTTTGCTTTTTTTCCCCTTTTGTACTCCTTTGTCACGAATATGTGTCATTTTGTAACCAAGTGCAGGTTGAAGGGGCTAGCCCACCCCCCACCTCGGCTTCACTTAGGAACAGAAAATGTTATGCATGTTGAAGTGTTATTAACTCTGTATGTTGAACTCTCGTTTGAAAGCTTTAATGCAGGCAAAGCAGAGTTTGTGTGTTTGTTACTCTGAGGAGCTTGGAGCAGTCTCTGGAAGGAGGTGTCCTAAACCCCAGCCTCCTGTGTATTTCCTACAGCTTTATATAATAAAGTGTTTCAGTGACACTTGCTCTCATGTGTTTCTCGACGAGCACTGTTGGAATCGGTGTTGCAGCTCTGTGCTCAGCCTGTCCTCACCCCTAACCCTGTACTGGGACGGCGGATCCCCGCAGTGCTCCTGCCTCCCCCTCCCCAAACCACATGCCCAGCGCCAGCTGCACCAGTCCTGTCGGTTATGGCAGGGGGACAGCGGGTTCTCCCGCCGCCGG